GGAACGGTCGGCCTCGTCAAGTCGTAATTATAATGCTTGATAGTCGTCAGCAAGGATCTGAAAAAAGCTGAACGGTCGTTTAGCTCCATTGAGGTCGATATCTGTCATCAGTTCAAACTACTACTCGAATTCTGACTAGCTACTTAAGCGAACTGATAATACATAGAATTCAACTGATAATTTTCGAACTACACAGTTTAAGGTGTGAAATCATTAGGACTTTCAATCAGTAACCAAGAATTTTCGGATAACAATGGAACGTCTACTTGATATTATAAATACAGCAGTCAAGAAAGTGAGAAAAACAGCATTGAATTGTGTCTAACTACACTCAGATCGCAACGCCCCCTATATACGACCTCGTATAGTTGACAGTAGATAGACCTCGTCCTTCCTTTCCGAATGCTTCCATGTGGCTACACGTCCATATAGTCCCTACCAGATTAGTCCTACTCACCGCACCCCCACGCAAAGGGGGTGTGTTCATCACAGAAGTGAAAGGAAACATCTGCCGCCTAAAACCGGGGGATAGTGGACATGATAGTGATAGCTAGAGGAGCAGGAAAATCGCTGATTCCAAATCCACAGTTCACCACCCTTGGTTCGACAATCCCAACGAAACGAATGGTGAATATGAATTTGCTTCAGTAGCCCGGATCCAGTGGGACGACGTAGTTCCTGAGTATTGATAATGTACCAAGCTTGTATTTTTCAATATAAATTTTTTTTAATATCAAAATAATTCAAACATCGAATGATGAGTTCGCTCGTTTTTTAGACCGAAACTGCGCAGTTCAACTCAACTCAAAGAAGTGAATCACTTTTTCGAATTGTGTAATTGGCAAAAATGCAAATTTCGATCATACATAGCAAACATGTTGAGTGTATTGATATACATTTTTAAAAAATCAGTCAACGGATGATTGGCAAACTTTTCCCCACTTCACTCAAGGAGTTAATCTCATTTGCGTACTGCATTAAACATCTTTACGGTATTAAAAGTTGCCATAATAATAACAGTAATAATTCGCTTTATTCCAAAACAGTACTTGTGATACAGAATGGAATTCTCAGCATTTTGCTACAGTATCACGCCTAATGCTTTCTTTATCGCACAGGACACAAGCTAAGTAGGTATGGTTAAAGTTTTGTACTTGCTAGTGCGAGCATATAGTTTTCTATGTAGGCTTCTGATTCTGCCTGATGAGATACAAGGGGAGAGTTGTGAATGAAGGGGGTGGTGGCGTGAGTTAGATAGATAGAAAGGATTTAGCCCATTTTTCACATTAGTCCAAGTGCGCCAGTCGACCAGAATACTGACAAGCTGGTTAAGTGGCACATTGCTTACCCTGCTGACAACCTTTAACACCCTATGTGATAAGATATATTCCTCCTTCAGTAGCCCTAGAAAAAGTAAGGAGGAACAATAGAGAATAATAGGCACAATGCGGGAGTTAACGAATCGTAGGAGTAAGGGTTGGTTTGGGTTATTCCAGAATGTCTTAACTTCTGGATGTAGAAGGTAAGACGGATTATTTTCTTAGAAATCATCAAGATATGAGACGACCAGGAAAGATCAGAAGATAGAATGACGCCAAGATATTTAATTTCCGACTTGGTCTCTGTCTATTTCAGTGCCATCTATGTTGCACACCTCGTGAGTGCTAACCAGTTTGTTTAAGTCAGATTTATGCCTTAAGGTGAAATTGTCTGTTTGACATTTAGAGGGATTTACGGTAAAACCATTTTCCTTGGACCACTGACTAATTTCTGATAAAAAGCCATTTAGTTTGGAGCAGTCACTTTGACACTTGACAGGCAAAGATACAGTCAGGTCGTCAGCATATTTAACAAAATTAGTGTCATTTGAAGATGGTAAATCGTGTAGAAAGAAGGAAAAGAGAAGCGGGGAGAGTACAGCACCTTGGGGGACACCGGCTTCAGTGAGCACAGCAGAGGAGGATTTGCCTTTGTATACAGTGTCCTGCATTCTGTTTCAGTAGTAGGAATGCAACCAGTTAGTGACCCAGGACTCAGTTTGTGTCATCGAGAACTTATTTAGCAAGAGACATCTAGGTACAGAGTCAAAAGCAGAAGTGAAGTTGAGAAACGTGCAATGTAATTAAAAAAACACATGAATCCGCAAAGAGATCTCTTTCTTCTCGTGACTTCACTTCAAGGCTGTACAATTAGTGTTATTCATCAAGCAACATCAAAGTCAAGATCCCTCTCTTAGAAATTTCCCTGTGCCTTTACCAATTCACTTACACCTGTAGAGTTAAGTGTACATACGCCGTACCAGCAAGACATTGGTCTAGATGAACCCATGAACACTAAACCAGCATGACTGTCAATAGGTGGACGTAGGAGAACAGTCAGCAACTCAATTCTGGAGCATGGCATTGCTTCTGGTTATGCAGACAGTATTAGCAGAGACAGACTTCTTTCAAAGTCATATACAAAAAGTAAAACCAAAAGTCTTTCGATAAGAATCCCCCCACCGTCTTCTTCATGCAGCTGAAGCCTTAGCGATCCCATAACATTGTGTTCAGAAAGGTTTTATTCACCCTCTTTTAATACTACGGCATTAGCACTAACCGCTTCTCCCGCTTCTTTGTATGTTAGGTTTTATGTAGTCCGTTTTGTATATGATAGAGAAGATTTGTAGCTCAGATGGATTACTTTGATGTGGTTGTGTTCTCTGAGCCAGCTGGATAGTTAATGTGCGAAGCTTTCATCGCCCTACTAGGCGACATCTTCAGCGCATACTTCAATTTGATGAAGTGAGCTTTTAGATTTCTCTACGAGTTTATTAATCATCTCTCCTGGTCACCACCTTGAACCTCGTGATTTGTTGTTTTTGTGTGTTTTCACACCCTCTAGCCTAATTGTATTTGAACTGATTGTCTCTTTGACTTGAACTTTGACCCCTTGTTTGTGAGGTTTCTTTCGTATCGATTGGTAAATGTTGTCTATCTCGATGTGTTTATTGATTGATGATTCACTGGAATGCCAAGCTTCTAAAAATTCTCTGGCTAGCATTCTTGTTGTTTCCTCTGTCTAATATTTGAACGTTGGTTGTCCCAGTCGAATTGATGTCCGTGGTTGTTTGCATGCAGTGAAGCGATATGAGGAAGTGGATGTCATGTCTTTGGACGGCTAGCTTATGTTCATGGATACGAAGACGCAGGGGACGTCCACTTTGGCCAATGTAGTGTTTTTCGCAGTTGTTACAATTTATTTTGTAGATGATGTTGGCATTATCTTCTTTCGTTGTTGAGTCTTTTGGTTGACATAGAACTTATCAAACCAAAAGCCCCCAAGGAAAGCTCAAAGACAATCGCCTAACCATATATAAAGGATATCTCAGAAATCGCTACAAGTCTCTTCAAACCTTTAGGAATTGACGTCGTACACAAACCAACAAAGTCAATTCACTCAATTCTATGTCAACCAAAAGACTCAAAAACGAAAGAAGATAAAACCAACATCATCTACAATATAAGTTGCAACAACTGCGAAAAACACTACATTAGCCAAAGTGGACAACGTCCTCTTCGTCTTCGTATCTATGATCATAAACTAACCGTCAAAAGACATGACTTCCATTCCCTTGTTTCACTGCATACAGACAACCACGGACACCAAGAGAGACAGAGGAAACACCACCAATGCTAGCCAGAGAATATTTAGAAGCCTAGTATTCCAGTGAAACGTCAATCAATAGACACATTGAAATAGACAAAATTCATCAATCGATAAGAAGGAAATCTCATACACAAAAGGGTCAAACTTCAGGTCGAGGGAACAATCAATACCAATAGCAATACAAGTAGCCTGGAAAGGGTGAAAACACAGAAAAACAACCAATCACGTAGAAGTCACCCACGAGGAGAGATGACTAACTAGTAGGGCAATGAAAGCTTCACAACTAAACCATCCAGCTAGCTCAGGCAACGCAACTACATCGAAATCATCCACCTGAACTACAAATCTTCCAACATCATATCTAACTAAAAATAACCACTAGATTGGCCAAAAAAAATTTTGATGTAAAAACTATGTATTAGTGTAGAGCCAGCCGATTACCAGGAAGTCATTGAAAAGGAATGCATATTTCTTCGCTCAGTCTGTTTTTTTTTCTAAATGCGTGCCAATGGACGTGATATCCGACTATTGAGCAAAGGGCGGGGGTACTGCTCAGCAGGCCGTTTCGTCCTCCTTTATGGCTGTGAGCCAGACATGGCCATTGAGAGTGGAAGACATGAAAAGATTAGCTGTCCTCGATCATATGTGCCTGCGTCCTATCTCCCGTGTTAGGTGGTGGTATAATAAGGTGAGCAATATTGAGGTTGAGCATCGGTCAACTGAGATGGTTGGGACATGTGTTACGGATGCCTTGTCATCGCCTTCCTCGACCGACAGGCAATGTTAGCTGACATAGGGTCAGGTTGGAAAAGAACTAGCGGCGGTCAAACCAAAACACAGCACCGATCAATGAAATCCACAACAGTTAGTTTAAGCCAGTCACGTAGGAATGTGTAGACTTCCTTGTTGAGGTCCCCAGGACGGTAAAACCCAATGGTTGGAAACAATTGGTGGTGTGGCTCAAAATTGTTCTCAATGGCTGGTGCAGATGCATCCCCTCCTTGTGGCTTATAACTTTCAATGAAACTATATTGTTCTTCGTTATTACTATTCCTTTGTCTCACACCTCTGTTTACTGTCTCTATTATACATCTCTTCTACTTTCTTCTCTTTCTTTGTGTGCTACATGGAGTGGAGTGTGGCGCCTTGAACTGTTCCACATCTGTGCAAAGTTCTGTGTCGAAAACAGACAGACAGACAAATGCGTACATGGGAATCCCCAAAATAACTGTACAGTTTTTAAAAGATTCTTAAAAGCATATCTTCGGCTTCCGTTACCAACATCAAATACAGCTCCCCCACACAGACACACAAAAGATGAACACATATAAAGTCTTAAAAAATTTCCTTACTTGTATTTTAGGTGCTTTACGCATATTTTCTTCTTGTGGTAGCGTGTTTGTTACAACAACAGCTTCAAAAGCTGACTTATTAATTCGATCCAACGCTGGACCAGAGAATATACCATGCGTGCATATTGCATAAACTCGTTCCGCACCAGCTTCAATTAATCTAAAATCGGGGGGAGAGGAATTTGAAAAACAAAGATGAAAAGCAATACATGCAGGCAACAATAATAAATTATTACTAGCTTTTGAGGCGAAGGAAATATTAGCTCTCGTCTCAATCTGATATCATCCACTGAAGTCATTTCAAGATCGCAAAATTTTCTGGATTTCAAACGCTTTGTATAGTATAAGATACTGTCTTCACGTGATTTATTGCCTAGAGAGCTCGACTTCCCACCAATAGGTCCTGAGTTCAAAACCGTCTCCCTTACTTCAAGGTGGACATTTGGATAGCAACGTCATTCATCATACAATTAGAGTGACTCATAACTGGGTGAATGGAAATGCAATCCGAATACATAGAGGATTTCATCATAGGCTGACATCAGTTAGAGAACCACTGGAAAACCTGCTAGGGAGTACTGGACAGCTGTTTCCTCCGTCCTAGTTTAGGACACTTCATCAGTACGTACCCAACACAGGGGTTCGAACCCAGGACCTTCTGATTACAAGGCGAGCTCGTATACCATTAAACCACTGGGACCCAATCCAATGGCCAGTCCATGAATTCTAACTTCTACCAATTCACGACATAGCTAGTACTAGTACTATTATTCTCCTGGATTCTGAGTATAACCCAGAGCTAAGACAGCACATCTCCAATTCACTTTGACCTCTAAAGGCTTCTTTAGCGCTGAGTTCACGATTTCTTTCCCTCACCACTACACGATCTTCTCCACCATATCTTCCTTCGACCCATATCCAACTTGTTGACCCATACCATTCAGATCCCACTCAAGGGACTGAAGCGTGACGCCGCTCAACGGTGTCCTTAGCGTGTGTCAAATTCATCTTCATATTATTCGGCATTCATTGGGCAACAGATTCGTTGCCAGAGTCCCTCATGTCATCGGTTATCCTTTCTGGCTATCTGATCTTCAGTAAGGGGTAAAAAACAAAAGGCGGATAGTGATGATGACAGTCCACAGTGGGCTACTTGGAAATGCTTTACATAACGTCTCTGAACCAATATACGAGCAATGACTTGACATCAGTGTTAAGGATCCGCACCTTGTTCCTTAGACTGTATTATTTATTGATCCTTTGGGTTCCTAGTGGAACATAAGGCTTCAACTGCACGTCTCCCCTCTTGCTACTGTCTTCCTTCTGCTGCACTTTTCACCTCAACCCTTGTTAGTCCATACAGCTTCAACTCCTCTTCACACGATCTCCTCCTCCACGTCACCCTTGCACTGAAGACCCACTCACCGCTTCCCTTTCGGCCTAGTTCCATTCGAGAAATGGCTTGAGGCGCGCGCGATGTCACACAGCGGCGTCCTCCTCAGCGAGTGTCCAATCCATCTCCACTTTCTCCTGCATATTTGTCGGTTGGGCGATTGGTTCTTGTTTTGTTTGTTTGTGTCCATAGTTTCTTGTAGGTGGTGATTCTTTCCGGCCCGGCCATCTGGTTGATCTTCAGTACAGAGCGAAAACAGTCGTTGGTTGATAAAGGTCTGCAACAGGCTGTTGGAAATATTCTTTGTGACCCGCCCGCCAAGTTTCTGATCCATATAGAAGAGCTGACTGACTCGACGTTGTTTGTATTGAAAATCCGACTGAATTTTGTTGTTGTTGATGATGAGTTGAGTGACGAAGATTTCCAGATTGGATTCAGTTGGTTGATGAATGTGTTTCTCGCCTTCCCGATTCTCGCTCGATTTGACATTCTCGTCCGTTTCGACTTCCTGCAGTTGAGAGACAATGCTCCCTAGATAATAAGTGAATGAAGTAACCTCTTTCACATCCCTCCCGTTGATGGTGATTGGCGCTGGATGTTTCTGTCGTTGTTGTTCGTCGGTTGGTTATTTTCATAACCTCCTCCTTAATCTGACTGCAGTAGATTTCTATAACGATTTCAGAGACGAAGAAAAAAAAGGTCTGTGGCTGCTTTTCCAAACCTGGATGGCTTTGATAAACCTAAAATGAATCAAATACGCCGCTAAGTAAGTAGACATCACAAGTCTAATTTTCTGATAACTTCTCATGCAAACATTGAATATTTATAAAACAGGTGGGGAAAAATGTAAATTTACGAGAAAAACTATTCAAAATATAACAGTAATATATACATAATATACATATACGCATATTTTGTATTACTTGTCTGCTGCAGTGCATATTGTTCCACAAGTATCTGCCATATCATCAACAAGTATGGCTACACGATTGCTTACATCACCGACAAGGACCATACGATCTACTTCATTGGCTCGTTTTCTTTCCTTATGAATAAGTGCAAAGTCAACATTCAACTGATCGGCAATTGAAGTCACCCTGAAAGTATTTACACACAAAAAAAATAATACTAATAATAATAGTAATCAAATAATACTAATTATTATTAGTTGAGTAAAAGAATAAGCAAGTTTACGGTGAGTAAATCCAACAGAGTAATTATTGCATGGAGGATTTCATCATGAGCTGACATCACTTAGAGAACCACTGGACAGCTATTCCATCCTAGTTTGGGATTCTTCATCAGTATGCACCCATACCACGGGGCTCGAACCCGGGACCTTCAGGTTACAAGGCGAGCTGACTCGTAGACCATTGAGCCACTGGGATCCAATGCAATGGTCACCCTATGAATTCTAACTTCTAAAGAGTACCAAACAAGGACGAAACAGCTGTTCAGTACTCCCCGGAAAGTTTTCCAGTGGTTCTCCAACTGATGTCAACTCATGATGAAATCCTCCATGCAATCAAACACAAAATCCCTACAAAACCAATACTTGAAGAGTACTTATTCTTCTTAAGTCTGTTCATCAATATATGCGATATGCACAAAGGAGGCCGAATGGTTAAGAAACACGATCATGAAAACAAGTAAGTATACTAATTAAGAGTAGTTAAAGAGAGTTCATCACATTATGTCACTTTCAGAAAGAGAAGAAACGATGAGACTACAACAGCATGTCTGCTATTCACATTACGATTCTCAGTCATATCTTATATAAACGTCTCGAACCACTGATTCGGATCCTACGCCTACGGAGTCATGACTCACCAACACATGGCAACCTGACAGAACTATTCTTCATATGATGGTGCCATGAAGTAGTAGGCTAAACACATCCTCTTACGTTTTTTCCAGCCAAAACAGTGGACGGTATGACAGCCGTTGGGATGAAATTCGTGGTAAATGTCAAAACTACTAAAACCAGTGTTCCAAGCTGACGATACTTATTGAAAAAGAATTCCCACCATGTGCTGAACACACTGCCAGACTTTAGAACTAATTACATGGTGATACCAACCGGATGAAAGTAATTGTATGAGGGCGCCGAGTTGCCTTACGTCACACGCTCGAAGATGTCAGATTTGACAGACGTGTATAGCACAACCACGTGCACTGAAGCATTGTAAAATTGACCTTTGACGGCTACGCTAGACGGTGCCAACTGCATCTTCTGCTATCAGTCTTAATCATACTTAATCAGACAGAAGGAGAGGAGCGTGTTGTCAGTCATGTTAAACGTTGTTTTAAGAATTTTTTATTGATTTTTTTTTTATTTTGAAGAGTACTCCTTACACAACGAGGTTAATACGTCCAGTGAAGATAATTTACAAAAATAGTTAAATATCAATTCCTTAACATTTTATAAAATGAGCTTTTAATTAGTCCCTCTCCACTAAAAGAAAGTTATCACAAGTATTGACTATACCAAGTAGTAAAAGTTAGAAGTGTAGTGAACTAAATTTTAAATGTAGAACGTCACACAAAAGTTCAGCAGTTCATAAAATCGTGCATACGGACAAGAGATGAGAAACAAAACACAGAGAAACTAAATTAAAGGCAAGTGCGAAATAGACAGAATAATTGTACGGGCGAATAATCAAAATTAAACAGATCTGATTGCAACTGAGATATTAAGAATAATTCTGAGCGATGGTAGCATCAACAGCCTCCAGACATTAGATCCTAGTATCTCAAGCATCAGAGTTAGGTAGTCTTGGACTGATAGAAGACAAGGGCTAGACAACAGATCCTTTATTGAGGAAATAAACAGATATTCAGAGACTTTTATGTACATTACTATTAGCGTTATTGTTAGCAGAGAAACAGCGTCTTCTGACTGGTTGTTTTCCTGCTGAGGGTGATTCTGTCATCTCTTTGTTACCGCTTCTGAGACAGTCCGGTGATATATATCTGCGAATCGTATCCACCCACGCAAAGTCTGCTGTGATTGGTGGTTGAGTTCCTGAAGCTTAGGCTTTGTTCTTCTTTTTTCTCATGATCATGATTTCGGACGTAAATTGCTGTCTACCAATTTTGGCTAGCAGACAACTCTCACCACAGTCTAACCTTCCCTTTACGAAACTCAAACTAACAGCCAGAGACTTTATGGATTGATATTATGTGTTGATGTGACCAGCTTTAACTCCCTTTTCTAACCCAATCCTATCTCTCATTTGGAATTATATGTCTTTCTTTGTGACCTTCGACCATTCTATTTTTTCTTTTTTGGTTTAGCACGGTTTATTGAGCAGTGTTCAATATATTTTAGTTTATTAAATACACTACACACACACACACACAATCGTGTACACATAACCTTCAACTTTATTTTCTCTTCCTACTTATTGTGTCAAAGTTCACATTTCGTCAAAAGTGAACTCCAAAATCAGACTGGATGAGCATTTATGTCAAACACAGACTATAAAGATTAATTATTACATAATTCATAGTCATCTATGATCACAGGAAAGAATTCTACAGTTATAAACACAAAATCTTCCATACAGTTGGGAATAAATCAATCTTCCTTTCAAGAGTTACTGATTTGTTGCAAGTCTGACCACAGATTGATGTTATTTAAAGAGCTGAACAGTCATTTTGTCCCCTTTCAGGACTCTTCACCAGTGCCCACCCACGAACCTACAGGGTATCGAGCCCAGGACCTTCATATTACGAGGCTAAGCTCGTTAGAGGTGGAGGTTGATTGAACACTCGCTGAGGAAGCCGCCGTTGGGTGACGTCGCGTGCGCGTCAGGCCATAGCTCGAGTGGAATCCGAAAGCGAAGCGGCGAGTGGGTGGTCGGTGCAAGGGTGTCTGTCTGTTTGTTTTCGACATAGAACTTTGCACAAATTTGCGGCAGTTCAAGTCGCCACACTCCGTGTAGCACGCGAAGCAAGAGAAGAAAGTACAAGAAAAGCATAACAGAGATAGTAAGCAGAGGTTCGAGACAAAGGAGGAGTAATAACGAAGAACAAAACAGTTTCATCCGAAATCATAAATCACAAGGAGTGGATGCATCTGAGCCAGCCAGCCATTGAGAACGATTTTGAGCCATGTCACCAATTGTTTCCAACCATAGATTTTTACCGTCCCGAGGACCCCAGCCTGGAAGTCTACACCTTCCTACGTGGCTTAGACTAACTGTTGTGGATTTCACTGACTGGTGCCAAGTTTTTGTTTGACCACCGCTAGCTTTTTTCCAGCCTGACCCTACATCCGCTAACATTGCTCGTCGAGGAAGGCGATGACCAGGCATACGTAACACATGTCCTAACCATCTCAGTCTTTGTAACTTAACGACTTCATCGGTTGATTTCCCCTGTTTACCTAGCACTCGACCGATACCTAACATCAATGTTGCTCATCTTATTATGCCACTTTACACGGGAAATAGAACGCAGGCACCTATGATCAAAGACAGCTAGTCTTTTCATGTCTTTCACTCTCAGTGGCCAGGTCTCACAGCTAGCAATAAAGGAGGACGGAGCGGACTGATGAGCAGTACACACGCCCTTTGGTCGATAGTCGAACATCTCGTCTACGCCAGAGTCGGCGTAAACTGGCAAATGCGAAACGAGCCCCCTGTATTCGTGCTGAGATTTCGTTAGATATCAACCCGTTGCGGCTGATGGTACTTCCCAAATAAGTGAAGCGCTTAATGTGCTCTACCACTTCACTTCCTATTTTTAAACTAGGAGTCGATGTAGTCCAGTCCTGTAACATCATCTTGCATTTGACAGGAGCGAATCGCATGCCAAGCATTCGTAGATTGCGGCTCAAGGTGTTTAGAAGACTGCATTTTGTCAGAGTCGTCGCCTAGGAGGACTATATCGTCTGCATATTCTAAGTCAACGAGATTATTCCCTGGTAGCAGGTCAATCCCTGAGTCGCTGAAGTCACTTAGGGTTAAGTCTATTAGTAAATCTATGATGAAGTTGAATAGAAAAGGGAATAATGGGCATCCTTGACGGACACCACTAGTCGTCACCAGTTCAGATGACAACTCGCCGTAAGCCCTCACCTGGCTGTATGAGTACGAGTAGAGTGCCTTAATCAGTGTAATATATTTTCTCGGCATTCCCTTTACAGCCAAGCATCTCCAAAGAACTTCTCGGTCGACAGAGTCGAAGGCCGCCTTTAGGTCAACAATACAATGACTGTTGGACGCTGGTAGGAATTCCTATGTTCTAGAATCTGTCGGAGGGTGAAGATATGATCAATACACCCTCTTCCTGGTCTAAAGCCTGCCTGGCTCTCTCGTGTTTGTGCCTCCCTAGCACCACTTAGTCTACGCATGATTATTGAGCCTAGGACATGGAGGAGATTGTGTGAAGAGGAGTTGAAACAGTATGGACTAAGATGGATGCAGGTGAAAAGTACAGCAGAAGACAGAAGTGGCAAGTGGAGACGTGCAGTTGAAGCCCTATGTTCCACTAGGAACCCAAGGGAACAATAATAATAATAATAAGCTCGTTGGTATTGACAGGCAGTCTTGCTTGAGTAGTAGCAAGACCGACAGAAGTTTGAATTCATGAGACATTGGATTCCGGCCCAAGTAGCGAAATAATAATCAACGGGGCTTCCCCTCGCAACCTGAAGACCCTGGGTTCAATCCCTGGTGGAGCTATATGAACACTGATGGAGTCTCAGAAACTAGAACGAAGTAACTGTCCAGTAATCCCTGGACAGTTCACGATCAAACTTAACATAAATTTGCTCACTGAGACAACCTAAAACTGACAAGTTCCTCTTCTATGTTACTTCTAACTGCATAACCACTTTACAAGTACGTACGTACGTGCCAAAGCACATGTTTATAAGAGGAAGACAAAGAAGAATTTCTCACCTCAATGTCTGAGCACACCTTCCAAAGAATTTAAGACTGAAAAGTACAAAAGTTTTAAATTAGTGCATTGACTACTCATCACTTGTTGGATAATACTTTACTTTACTTTACTTTACTTCGGCTATCTCCTACGGGAGGATGAGCCGGCTTCATGAACGTCTCGAATCATCGCTGCCCAGGCGCGGCAA